TTTGCTGATGTTTCCAGCATATACACCTCGAATAATCAGTCAACGACTGTATTATGATCTATTTTCAATTCTCGTTCACTAAATGTATAGAAGACGTTAATACTTTTCATTAATTCTTCACAATTTGAGAAAATATTCCAAGTTGCAAAGCTACTATAAAGCCATTATTTCCTCACTCCACTAAACATTTAACTTAAAAGTTCACTTGTCTATAAAAGGGCAAACAAACAAAAACAGACAGACAAACACTTCTCGATTATATAATAAGATGACATATGATGATGACATGTCGGCAAAAAATTTTCCGCAATGTAATAATGACCTTTCTATGAGAAAATTATATTATATTACGCCCCTTAATGGGAAAAGTATGTGTATTGTATTATGAAAAAAATTTTTCACATGTCTATTACAAGAATAAAAAATTAATTTGAAAAAAATTCTCTCAAAGAGAAATCTCTCAAAGTACAAGAGATTTTTTCGTAATTTTTATTTTTTATTTTCGTAATTCGGAATTTTTTCCGGTATCTTCGTAACCATAATTCGTAACCCAAAAAATTCTTAACCCTCATACGAAATATTTATTACGGAATAGTTTGCCCTATGTCATATTATTTAAATTCAATATTAAAGGAAAATTTATCATTTTTGAATAATTAGTAGACATAAAATTAATATTTAAAATTATTTTTTAAATAAATTAATTTATAATGAAACTTGATTGTCTATTAATAATTTTAATCTTCAATGCGATATTATGGAGTTTAATTAATTCTTTTAAAAATAATAAAGATAAAAATGAGTTAACTAGAGTTGAGGAGACCTCAAAAAATTTAACTAAAATGTTTAACGATGAGGCAGAATCTTCGGTTCAAAAATCTGAAGGGGTATTAAAACCAATTGAAAATAAAGGCAAAAAAATAATCAGTAAAGAAAGGAGGAGGGAAATTAGCCGAAAGTACTACCAAAATAATAAGGAAAAAATTCGAGAAAGAAAACGCATTTACCATCAAAATAATTGGGAAAAGAAGCGAGATTATGATCAAAAATACTATCAAAATAATAAGAAAAAGATTAATGAGAAAAGGCTAGAATATAACCGAAATTACATAGAAAATAATAAGGAAAAGAAGAGCGAATGGAATCGAAAATATCGAGAAAAAATGCAAAATAAACAAGCAGGGTTAGAAAGTGTTTATTTTAAGGAAAGAAATGTTCATTCTGATAATAAAGAAGGAACTTCTTTTGAAAATTCACAGAATGAGGATTTTGGAAATAAAGGTAAATTGCCAATTGTTTACGAAGGGAACATACATTTTGAAGGAAATCCTTCTTATCAAAAGGAAGAAAGTAAAGACGAAACAGAAACTTGTGTGGATGAGCAAAACCAAACTGTGGTAGAAGAGCCAAATAAAATTCCTGAGAATTGCATGAATCAGATAGATTTGAATGAGTATCCTTTTGATTTGAACGAGAAACCTGAGGACGAAGATGAAGATGTTTGTTAAGAAAGAGATATATTTGAAAAACTTTAGACAACTTTGTATAAACTTTCAATCATTCCTATCAGAATTTCATTTTTCATTACCTTCTATCAAGTCTGTATGGGTTTCGCTTTTGGGTATTTTCTCAAATTTCTTAAAAATCTATCAGACTGCACTATCATTTCAATGATAAATATATTGCTTGTTAATACAAAATATAAATATAATTTACACTATTTTCATTTACATATATTAATTGTTTAAATACAATATTAAATGCACTTTCCTTTAATTGTACATGCACTTTTTATTTTTTATTATAAAGCGTAAAACAATTTTCCCAATGTGTTTTTTTCATCTATATTGCTTATTTAAATTCAATAAATTTAATTATCTTGGTTAATTAGTAATACATAAAATAATATTTTAAATAAATTTTTAAAAATTAATTTATGATGAAACTTGATAGTATTTTAATAATTCTAATCGTCAATGCGATATTTTGGAGTTTAATTCTGGTAAAACTAATAAGGATCAGAATTTGTCAAATAGAGTTTCAAAGCTAGTACAGAGCCCTTATTTCCTCACTCCACTAATCATTTCACTTAAAAGTCCACTTGTCTATAAAAGGACAAACAAACAAAAAACAGACAAATTTGAAAAAAACACCACATATTTTTTCCCGTAATGCACTTTATTTTCGCTGGGAAAATTATATTTTATTACGAAACATAAATATGTTTACTATTTTCACCTATGCATTATTTAAGTTCAATTCTACATTAAAATTTATAATTTTTAGTTAATAAAATATTTAAAATAAAAATTTTTAATTTAGGATGAAACCTATTATTATTATAATAATTATCACATTCAATGCGATATTTTGGAGTTTAATTAATTCTGTTAAAAATAATAAGGAGAAAAACGAGTCAACTAGAGTTGAGGAGACCTCAAAGGATTTAAATAAAATATTTAACGATGAGGCAGAACCATCGGTTGATTCTCAAATTCAAAAAGATAAAGAAACGGTAAAACCAGAAATTACAAAAAATGACAGTAATAGAAAAGAATATATGAAAATTTACCGGAAAAATAATAAAGAAAAGAGGCGAGAATACATTCGAGATCACTACCAAAAAACTAAAGAAAAAATGAGAGAAAGTGCGCGTAATTACTACCAAAATAACAAAGAAAAGAGGCGAGAATGGGATCGAAAATACCGTTTAAACAATAAGGAAAAGAGACGAGAACTTAATCGAAATTACTATCAAAATAATAAAGAGAAGGAGCTAGAACGGAATCGGAAATATCGAGAAAGTAGGAAAAATAAAAAGGCAGATTTACAAAATGTTCATTCTGAAGGAAGCAACGATCCTTCTGATAATAATGAAGGAACTTCTTTTGTTCGGAATGATTTTAGAGATAAAGGTAAATTGCCAATCGTTTACGAAGAGGGAATTCAGCATGAAGAAAGAAATCATTTTAACCTAGAGGAGCAAGAATATGGAGAAACAGAAACCAATTTGGATGAGCAAAATCAAACCGTAGTTGAAGAGACAAACATGAATCAGATAGATTTGAATGAGAAATATTATCCTTTTGACCTGAACAAGAAACCTGAGGGCGAAGATGAGGATTTTTATTAAAAAAGAAATATTTTTGAAAAAAATAACACTTTTAAATTATTCAGAGTAGATTAAAAATTGTAAACATTAAACAACATTGTATAAACTTTCGAGCATTTCTATCACAATTTTACGTTTCAATTATATACTAAGTTGAGTTGTGGTGTGCATTTTGCTTCAAAAGAAATATTTTTGAAAAAAATAACACTTTTAAATTATTCAGAGTAAATTGCCAATCGTTTATGAAGAGGACATTCGGTCTGAAGAAGAAAATCATTATAACCAAGAGGAGGAAGAATGTAGCGAAACAGAAACTAATTTGGATGAGCAAAATCAATCTGAGATTGAAGAGGCAAATATGAATCAGATAGATTTAAATGAATATCCTTTTGATCTAAACAAGAAACCTGAGATCAAATATAAAAATTCTTTTGATTTAAATGAGAAACCTTGGGACGAAGATGAGAACGATTTATAAAAAATATATTTTTAAAAAATGTTAAAATATTATAGTAGATTAGAGATTTGTAAAACTTTAAAACTTTAAAAACTTTGTATAAAATTTCGATCATTTCTGATTTTCTGTTATGCCATAAGGTGCTTTTATATATAAATTTACCTATATGATTTGGCTGCGACCGACAATTCAGTTACTTGTTTGGGGTATGCGGGTATATGTGACTTAAATATTTGTTAATTGCTGATTTAATTTTATTTTATAGAAATTTATTTCTTTTGATTTCTTCTGTCAATTTAAACAATCGAATCGACATGTCGAATACACTTTAGTTTTCTGTTGATTTTTCTCTGATTAAGAAATGGAATATTTTGTAGTTTGTATATTTATTATAGTACAATAATCTAAAGGCTTGCACTTTGTCACCCCCTCCTCATTAATAAAAAAATTAAAACACAAAAAAGGATGAAAAAATTTCAAAATACCCTTTACTCTCACTATAGCTGTTTCTTTAGAGAATATCGTCCCACAACTAGAATACGCGTCCATGGAAGTATATGCGTCCCAAGAATATTATAAGCATCCCAAAAATAATTAAGAAAACAGTAGAAAAACAATCTTAGGAAAAACACTACTTGCCTAGGACATTAAAATACGATTGGTCAGAAAATGTATATAATAAAATTTTGTTTATAGTTGTCATTAACGTTTTTCTGATCTAACGGAACCTAAAGATTTAAGGATTTAAGCTAATTACAAAGCCCTCATTTCCTCACTCCAATAATTATTTTACTTAAAAGTCCACTTGTTTATAAAAGGACAATTAAAAAAGAGATGAAAAAAACACCACAGATTTTTCCCCATAATGTACTTTATTTTCGCTGGGAAAATTATATTTTATTAAGAAACATATGTTTACTATTTTCACCTATGTATTATTTAAGTTCAATTCTACATTAAAATTTATAACTTTTGGTTAATAAAATATTTTAAATAAAATTTTTAAATTTAGAATGCAACTTTTTAGTATTTTAATAATTATTATATTAAATGGGCTATTATGGAATTTGATTGATTCTGTTAAAAATAATAAGGAGAAAAACGAGTTAACTCGAGTTAAGGAGACCTCAAAGGATTTATCTATTAACGATGATGCAGAACCATCTATCAATTCTCAAATTCGAGGATATGAAAAAAATGACAAAGAAAAGAAGCGAGAACGGAATCGAAATTACTATTCAAAAAATAAAGAAAAGATGCGTGAATACATTCGAAATTACTACCAAAAATCTAAAGAAAAAATAAGAGAAAGTGCGCGTAATTACTACAAAAATAACAAAGAAAAGAGGCTAGAATGGGATCGAAAATACCGTCTAAACAATAAGGAAAAGAGACGAGAAACTAATCGAAATTACTATCAAAATAATAAAGAAAAGGAGCGAGAACGGAATCGAAAATACCGAGAAAAGATGAAAAATAAAAAAGAAAACTTAAAAAATGTTGATCCACAAGTAGGGAATGTTCATTCTGATAATAATGAAGGAAGTTCTTTTGTTCGGAATGATTTTAGAGATAAAGGTAAATTGCCAATCGTTTATGAAGAGGGCATTCAGCATGAAGAAGGAAATCTTTTGAACCAAGAGGAGGAAGAATGTAGCGAAAAAGAAACCAATTTGGATGAGCAAAATCAATCGGTGGTTGAAGAGGCAAACATGAATCAGATAAATTTAAATGTGTATCCTTTTGACCTGAACAAGAAACCTGAGGGCGAAGATGAGGATTTTTATTAAAAAAGAAATATATTTGAAAAAAATAACACTTTTAAATTATTCAGAGTAGATTAAAAATTGTAAACATTAAACAACTCGGTATAAACTTTCGAGCATTCCTATCAGAATTTTACGTTTCAATTATTTCCTAAGTTGCCGTGTGTCTTAGACGTTCGGATGCATTTTGCTTCACCCGAGTCTGTATGGGTTCCGCTTTGGGCCTTTCTTCAAAACTTCATAAAAAATTATCACACTGAACTTTCATTTCAATGATTGTTTCAATAGCGGGAATGCACGTGAATGAAGTTTGTGTGGCGCATTCTTTTTTTAGATTTTTATTTAATCTTTTCCCTCGAATACACTTTAGAATTACCTGTTTATTTTTCTCTAATTAAGAAATGGAATATTTTGTCCTTACTAATGTCGACGGAAGTGCAATTTTGTAATGCACTTTCGTCTCAGTGAGAAAACTACATGTAACGTGTTATGAAATAAAATTACACAATGTATTTAGACAATATAATAGACTTGTCGAATACACTTTAGAATTGTCTGTTGATTTTTCTCTGATTATGAAATGGAATAATTTGTAGTTTGTATATTTATTATAGTACAATAATCTAAAGGCTTGCACTTTGTCACCTTCCGCCCTCCTCTTTGATAAAAAAATTAAAACAAAAAAAAGCACGACAAAATTTCATAATACTCTTTACTCTCACCTATCGTCTCACACCTAGAATACGCGTCCATGGGAGTATATGCGTCCCAAGAATATTATAAGTGTCCCAAGAATAGTATAAAAAACAGAAAAACAATCTTCTGAAAAACAATATTTGCCTAGCACTTATTAAAATATGATTAGTAAGATAATGTATAGAATAAAATTTTGTTTATAGTTGTCATTAATTTTTACTGAACTAACGGAACCCAGAGATTTAAGGATTTAAGCTAAGTACAAGGCCTTCATTTCCTCACTCTAATCATTCTAATTAAAAGTCCACTTGTCTATAAAAGGACAAACAAAAATTTGTAAAAAACACCACAGATTTTTTTCCCGTAATGTACTTTTTATTTTCACTGAGAAAATTATATTTTATTACGAAACAAAAATATGTATGTCTACTATTTCACTATGTATTATTTAAATTCAATTCTACATTAAAATTTATAATTTTTGGTTAATAAAATATTTTAAATAAATTTTTAAATTCAGGATGAAACCTATTAGTATTTTATTAATTATTATATTAAATGCGGTATTATGGAATTTAATTAATTCTGTTAAAAATAATAAAGAGAAAAATGAGTTAATTCGAGTTAAGGAAACCTCAAAGGAATTAACTATCAATGATGAGGCAGAATCATCGGTTCAAAAATCTGAAGGGAAGTTAAAACCGATTGCAAATAAAGGCACAAGAATAAGAAATAAAGGAAAAAAGCGAGACTATGACCGAATCTACTACCAAAATAATAGAGAAAAAATTTTAGAAAGTAGACGAATTTACCAGCAGAATAATAAGGAAAAGTCGCTAGATTATATTCGAAAATACCGTCATAAAAATAAAGAAAAGTTCAAAGAATATGAAAGAATATACCGGGAAAATAATAGAGAAAAGAGGAGAGAAGCTAATCGAAAATACCGAGAAAAACTCAAAAATAAAAAAGGAAACTTAAAAAATCTTGATCCGAAAATAGGAAATATTCATTCTAATTATGCTGGAGACACTCCTTTTGTTAATACACAAAATAATGATGTTAGAAATAAAGGTAAATTGCCTATTGTTTACGAAGAGAGCATTCAGCATGAAGTAGAAAATCTTTCTAATCAAGAAGAGGAAGAATGTAACAAAGACGAAACTGAAAACTATGTGGATGAGCAAAATCAACTAGTAGAAGAGCACATTCGTGAAAATTACATGAATCAGATAGATTTAAATGAGAAATATTATCCTCTTGACCTGAACAAGAAACCTGAGGGCAATGATGAGGATTTTTATTAAAAAAGAAATATATTTGTTTAAAATAACGCTTTTAAATTGTTCAGAGTAGATTAAAAATTGTAAACATTAAACAACACCCGAGTCTGTATGGGTTCCGCTTTGGGCCTTTCTGAAAATATTATCACACTGCACTTTCATTTCAATGATTGTTTCGTTTGGGGGAGTGCACGTGAATAAAGTTTGATAGTCATTTACTTGTTTGACATATGTGTGACTTAAATATTTGTCGAATACACTTTTGAATCGCCTGTTTATTTTTCTCTAATTAAGAAATAATATTTTGTCCTTACTAATGTCTACGGAAGTGCAATTTTGTAATGCACCTCCGTCTCAATGAGAAAAGTACATGTAATTTGTTATGAAATAAAATTACACAATGTATTTTCCCTTTATATTGCTTACTTTAGTCAATATTACATTTAAATTTAATATTTTTTATTAACTCAAAGTAAATAAAATTAATATTTTAAATAAATTTTTAAAATTAATTTATGATGAAACTTGATAGAATATTAATAATTTTAATTGTCAATGCGATATTTTGGAGTTTAATTAATTCTGTTAAAAATAATAAAGATAAAAATGAGTTAAGTAGAGTTGGAGAAACCTCAAAGGATTTAACTAAAATGTTTAACGATGAGGCAGAATCATCGGTTAATGCTCAAATTCAAAAATATAAAGAAACGGTAAAACCAAAAATTAGAAAAAATGGCAGTAATAGAAAGGAATATCTGAAAATATATTGGCAAAATAATAAGGAAAAGAAGCGTGGATATGATCGAAAATACATCCAAAATAATGAAGAAAAAAGGCGAGAAACTGTCCGAAAGTACAACCAAAATAATAGAGAAAAGAAGCGAGAATATTATCGAAAATATAGAGAAAACAATAAAGAAAAGATTCGAGAAAATGAACGGAAATACCGACAAAATAATAAGGAAAAGAGACGAGAATGGAATCGAAAATATCGAGAAGATAATAAGGAAAAACTGGCAGAATACCGTCAAAACAATAAGGAAAAGAGGCGAGAATGTGATCGAAAATATCGAGAAAAACTGAAAAATAAAAAGGCAGATTTACAAAATATTCATTCAGATAATGGAGAAACTTCTTTTGCTAATACACAAAATGATGACGATTTTGGAAATAAAGGTAAATTGCCAATAGTTTACGAAGAGGGCATTCGGTCTGAAGAGGAAAGTCATTGTAACTATGATGAGGATGACTATGAAGAAACAGAAACTAATGTGGATGAGCAAAATCAAGCTGTGGTAGTAGTCCAAAAATCAAAAAATGCTTCCAAACAAAATCCAAAAATGCTTGTTTGTTCTGATAATAATGGGGAAGGAACTTCTAATCCAAAAAAAGATAATTTTAGAAATAAAGGTAAATTGCCAATAGTTTACGAAGATAGAATTCAGTCTGAAGAAGGAAATCTTATTTATCAAGAGGAGGAAAGAGAAACTAATATGGATGAGCAAAATCAAACGTTAGTAGAAGAGCCGAACAAAATTCCCGAGAATTGTACGAATTTGATTGATTTGAATAAGAAATATTGTCCCTTTGATCTGAACGAGAAACCTGAGGACGAAGATGAGGACGTTTATTAAGAAAGACGTAAATTAAGAAAGAAAAGATGTTAAAATTTGAGAGTAATTAATCTTTTATAAATTTAAACAACGTCGCAATAAAAAATATAAAATTGCCCTTTATGTTTGTCGCAAAATGCGACTTTTGTATTATATTTTTTGACCTTTTTTCCCTTGTCTTTTTGTGGAAATATTTTTATTTTTTAAATTTCTATTTTTAATCATGCGTAATCAAATACGCCTACTTCTTTCAAATTCTTCCCATTATTCATTGCACTTTGTATATTTTTGCTATTTTTTGTAAAACCCTCACATTTTTTCCTCTATTTAAACGTTAGTAATTTAGAGTTTGTTGTGTATGGGCGTCAGCCCTTAAAGTGTATACTATAAAAGCCAGCCATTAGTTAATTCGAGAGTCTCTTCACCTGTCCATTCTTCCTACCAACCTTCATTGTATTTCGTTCGTGTGATAATTTGTTATCGTCCTCTACGTAAGCGGGGTCGTAACAGAGTTTATCAAAGTATATCTTGTAAATTCTCAGAAATAAGAGTCTGTTTAGATTCTCAAGAGCTTTTCTAATTGTAATAGATTTTGTTTGAATAAAAGTTGTGTAACTTTTGATTTGTTTTATTTAAAATAAACAATTGAAATAAAAGTTAAAGTTTGATTTAAGTTTTCTAAGTTTAGAGTTCTTTGACTAAGAGTTTAGTGTGTTTCTATTTGAATTAAATCTGAGTTTTCTAGAGATTTCTAGAATTTATAAAGTTTGGATTGTATAAAAAGATTTAAATAAAGTATATTATTTGTGAAAATTTTTAAATAGGATTTAAGTTAAATTTTAACTTCAAAATTCTTTTAAAATATTGCGTAATATTTTAATTGTTGAATAAATTTGATTTTTAAAGAAATTGATTTTGAATAGAAAAGAAAAGAGTAAAAAGATTAAAAATAAAAAATATTGTTTATTCATTGGAATATTTTATTTGTTTTTGCGACAATATTTTCCCCTTTTTTGTTTAAAATAAATTAAAAATTACTTTTGCGTCCATAACGTTCTGTGAATAAAGGAGTTAAAATTGTGCCTGAAATTTTTTTATTTATTTTAAAATTATCCCATATCCCATATTTAATGTCCATAAAAAGATTATATTCCCTTATTAAAAATATTTTTGGTAATGTAATTTTTTGTTTCATGAACCACGGAAACGTCTAGTACCGTATATACCCAGAACTAAGGACCGTTAGATTCGTTTAACTAAAAAACATTGGTCTAAGTTTTCGTTTGTTTTTAGTGAAAACGAGCAAAAAAAATTTTTGTACCAAACAAATAGCCAATAAACCAAATATTGAGAAGCAAAGACCAATACCTCAAAAAATTTTTTTTTACTTTGAAAAAAAGGGAAAATAACCAAGTAAATTCCCATACAGTTA